AATTTAAAAATGAAAATTGACTTTATATATATTTCTCATAATAATCAATGTTAGCCAAAAATGCTTCCTGTCTATTTGTTAGAAAGAATAAATCTAAAAGTTTATTTTAAAAGATAGTTCCTCTGCTTTATAGAAACATAATCAAAATTTATGTGCAAGCAATCATGCAAACTTTTTAATAGGAAGTTGCTCAATCTTACACTTATTGCCTTTTCTCTATCTATAACAATATCAAAGCGTGTATGGTCGGTATATAATAAAATTTTACTAGAAGGTTTTGGCCCCATTTCTAGCTAGCTCTTCAAGGTTAGTATTATAATATATTTGGCTATTTAGATTTGAATGCATCATTTGCACCAAACATTTAAAGTAAAATTACATTAGATATCACATTATGTAGTAGGAGCAACTTTGAAGATCATGTTCAAACCTTTCTTAAAATTTATTTACACCGTATTTGTATATTTGAACAAAGCATAAAGTCAAACAATGTTCAAATAAGATTCAAAGATGGTTTAAATAATGCTCAAATAAGATTCAAAAATAGTTTATACATGGTTTGAAAATGAATGAATTAAAATTCAAATAAAATTTAAATATGATTTGACACAGTTAAAAAAAGGTTCATGTAAGATTTTAATCTGGTTCATACATGATGTGAACATAATTTAATAGGCTTCCAACATAATTACAAATATAGTTTGAATAATATCTGGGTAAGGTTTCAACAAGGTTTAAGTAAAATTCTAAATTTAATTTGAGCATGGTTTAAACATGATTTAAACATAGCACAAATATAGTTCTAGAAAAATTTGAATCAAGTTCAAGTGAGGTTGAAAAAAAATTCAAACATTGTTTGATCATTATTTGATTAAAGTATATTATTTTTCCTTTATTACGTTAATTAAATTTTCCTTCTTTCATGTATGTATGCATTTGTCTACTCTTATCACACCTATAAAGAAGAATTAGTTTGCTAAGTTTATATACAGTACTAGGCATTTGCTATAAGAAAATGTTAGATAATTTGAGGATAATGACCTTAATGTCAGTATTAAGAAATCCCTTTTTAGTTAATTTGTTAAATACAATGAATTATAGTTCTTTGTGAATTTTATCCAATAATGATTACCAAGAATGGTTGAAAATTGCAAAAAATAAGGGTCACTCTGTTCTATTCAAAATTAAAAGTAAAATAAAATAATTAGCAATATAAACTTTATATTAACACACAACTAGGGTTTAGAGAATATTCACACAAGGAAAAAATTCTTATGATGAGCATAATTAGGCTATCATATAATTAGCTAGGAAGAGATAAAAACTTTAAGAATTTTGATATGGAGATAATTATTTGGGCAAACACATAATTTTAAAAATTTAAATCTTTGAAGAGAATTCTTACATTGTTTTGAGAAGATAATATTTAAAAGATTAGTTTATATTTTTTGTTGATGGAGTTCTTCTTAGTCATAGAATATAATATATTTTTTATCAAGATATTTAGATTCTTTGAAAAAAAAGGAAGAATTTTTAGGATACTTAAAAATAGAATAAAAGGGGAGAACACTAAGAGAGTTAAAAAAAATATGGTGCATTAAGAAATCTCCAAGGAAATATATTGTAATTAAATATTTAATATTACTATAGTACTATGCTTATGAATTCATCTAAAAGTCATAGAGTAAATGCTCAAAGGTTCTTGTTGAGAGAGCATCAAGGAGGTTAAGCTAAAACAAGGAAAAAACTAATTATTATTACTGATGAATAAATATATATAATTGTATGCCAATGTTTTTAATTAAGTAAATTTTTTGTTTTATTCATACAGTGGATTTTTATAATAACTTATCTTATAGATTATTTCTTATATGTGATTTTTCACTCTATGCTACTACATTGAGCTCATAAGGATGAATTCTTTAAGTTAATTGTACATACTCTTAATTTGTTATCTAAGCACAATCCTTTTTAAATAGAATGTAAGAAATAACAATATAAGTAGAATCAATTGTAAGACAGTTTATGCCTTTTTATGAGAATTGATGTAGTTTTTGTTAACATACAAGAGTTGAGAAAAGATTAATTTATATTAAAGAGTAATGAAATAAAGTGGTAATAAAAAATAGGTGCTCTAGCCAACCTTGCTTAGAGTTTTGTGTATACGAAGAAGTAGAAGAGGAAGAGAAAAGGATAGAGATACTCACTTTTAACCCAACCACTCACTTAATTGAGGTTGGAGAAAACATGCAAAAGAAGGAGATGGAATATGAACTGAAAAGGTCATAAATGTACGCGAGACTAATTCCTTGCCATTAATTATAGCTAAATATGTTAAAAAGGTAAAATAAGTCATCTTATTATGAATATTTTATATAGAAATAAGGCTAAGTTTATAAATTATACGATTAAATGATAGCAAAGTAAGTACATGGCTAAAGACATTAGAAATCTATAGAAAAATGGCACAACCAATAGATCCATGTACTCTTGATCCTTTGAACTTGATTGATAATGTTTGGCTATCTAACTTTACGTTTTTAATGTCAAAATTAAAAAAAAAATTATTATGAAGATAAATAAAAGGAGTGGAAGTGCAATGAGATTCAAATATTTGAATTCCTCATAATATACTTATATTGTAAGGTGAGAAATCTTTTACTTTATTGAAGGTATGAGTTCTTAAACAGTTAGTTACATTAATCTTAATTTTGATTTTTTTTTTTGTATAACACATTAAGTTTTTTATATTATTGGCAAAGTTGGTGAATAGCCGCTATGCAAAAATTTATAGACTATAAATCAGTATATTAAATGATTTATTTGATCAAAATGATGAACTTTGTTAGATGGCCTGAAAAGACTTTCAGGCATGTCATCATAGAGGAGAGAAATGAAAAAACAAAGCATTTTTAATTAATTATAATAAAATAAAGTTTATCCTTTGATGCGATGATGCTACATGATTATAACTTCCATGGGTAGACCCTTGTTCAGTCGGTGCAATTCTCCCATCTGAACTTTGTGATTTTATATAAGGGGGAGTAACTTACCTCTTCAAAAAATATTTATTTGCCCTTATCCCTTTTCTTTACACATTGCTTCACTAAGCCTCACACTGTGGCAAAAAAACCTCGGCCCAATATGTAAGCCTATTTTTATCCTATCCTTAGTTCTCCCATATGAATTTTGTGATTTTATATAAGGGGGAGTCATTTACCTCCCCAAAGAATATCTATTTGCGCCTACTCCTTTTCCTTACACATTGCTCCACTAAACCTCACAGTGTGGCAACAGAACCTCGACCCAATATGTAAGCCTTATCATATCCTCACAGGCCCACCCCAATCATTCTACAAGACAAATAAAGTAATGAACCAAACTGAGGAGGAATTCAAGCTCAATGATTAGGATGATGGTTGAACCAACTCATATCAAATTTATCACAACTTGAAATTAGAAATTACTTTCTTAATGTTAAAATAACTCTTATACTATATAGTTAATAAAATCCAGCGAACCACAAACCCATGTAATGTTCTAATAAGTCACGGATCTTACTTATGCTTTTCTATTTAGACAACACTAACAATCAATAATTTCATAATATGGGACTAAAATGCACACTAGCAAAAACATGCTATGACAAAGCATTACATTAAGGGCAAATGCATATATATGACTCAATTTCTATGTATAGATTCTATTTTTTATGCTTATACCACCCAAATCCTTCATATCACATAAAAACATCATTATTTTAATCTTTAAAATGTAAATACACTTTTTAGTTATGGGTAAGTGACATGAATGATAAAATTAAAGTTTAGATATTATATATGTAAATACCTAAGAATTGAGTGATATGTAAGTATCATTCTAAACAATAAAGAAATATTCAAAGGGCTGGCTCAAAAATAAATTTTTTTTTTGTAGCATATGCATTTAAATAAATTCAAAAATCAAGTATATAGGGTTTAAAAACATTAATGAATTTTCATGTTATAATATTTATTGAAATGACTATAATATTGATAATAAATGATTATACAATAGTTTTAAATTATATTGTTTTCTATATTTTTATTAGCATATATTTTACCAATTTTATATTAAAAATTAAAAGAAAGTAAAATTGTCAATAATAAATTCAAGTTTGGATTAAAAAGGTTGATGCCAATTTTGAAATTATTATTAAAAAAAATTTTTGGCTCCAACCCGAAGCTTAGGGCATAGGGCTTGCTCCAGTTGGCCTCGCTTTGCCTCGCTCTGAAGCATCGCCCGACCTCACTCGTCCCTCTAGCACGACTGCTCAGGACTCAGTTGATCGTCCTCCCTATGTCTCAACCTGCCTCAATCCAACTCTCTGCTCATCCTCTCTACACCCCTACACACTGAATTTTTTTTTCTGTTGCTATTAAACTTATAATGCTTTAACTAAATTTTAGCCTTTAAAAACATATCTATAAGTTGTTTAAGTGATTTCAACAAATGGGTCAAAATATATATTTTGCTATCTAAATAGTGAAATGTGACAGACATTAAATTTATTAATGTAATAAATTTGCCCCTCTCAAATGAAAGGCTGGCAGTGCCCTACTAAACTCTTGCATTTCAATACATAACTTATAATAGATAATAATGAGTTCATTCTATAAGTGCTTCATTAGATTACTTTAGACATAAGGGTAACTATGGTCTCCTCTTATATAAATAAATAAAAGCTATATAG